CAAGCTGTCCTTCAGGAGTTTGCATTCCTAAAAGCCATTTTAGAGCTGCGTGATCTGTTCGAATTAGAAACCTGCGTCCATAGAGATATTTATGAAAATTGTCGACTGCTTTTACTATGACAAGCAACTTCTCTTCTGGTGACACAATAATTTCGTTCCGGCTTTGATAATGTTCTGCTGTAGTACTCCACGACATGTTCTTGTGAATTTTGGATTTGTGAAAGGACAGCTCCAACACTGGTGTTACTTGCATCTGTGTCCAAAATCAACATGCCTTTGTGATCAGGATAGGACAACACTGGGCTCGTACATAATGCTCCTTTCAATTTTCTAAATGCGGAATCGCATTCTTGGGTCCAATTGAATGTTGATTTTTCTTCTGTTAATCGATGAAGTGGAGCAGCTATATTGGCGAATCCTTCCACAAATCTTCGATAATAAGAACATAATCCTAGAAAACTCCTTGTGGTTTTGGCCAGTCCCTGACAGCATCTATTTTTCCTTCCATAACTTGTATGCCCTCTTCAGATACCACGTGACCTAAGAATTCCACTTTCTTTTGAAATAGGAAACACTTATTTGGATTGAGTTTCAAGTTGGCATTCCGGAAGCGGTCAAAAACTTCTTTAAGGTTATTGAGATGTTCTTGGAACGAATTTCCCATAATCATGACATCTTCCAAATATACCAGGCAAGTTCTCCATGTAAGACCTTGCAAAACAAGATGCAAGAAGGCAGTTTTCTCTTTGTCATCGTCATGTATTGCCACTTGCCAGTATCCACTTTTGAGATCCAAGGTGGAAAACCATTTGGAGCCCGATAGAGTTGTTAGTGTATCGCCTATTCTTGGGAGAGGGAAGCTGTCATTCTTGGTGACGTCATTAAGCTTTCGGTAGTCCACACAAAATCTAACCAATGTAACCAATACTACTGGCGCGGACCATGGACTATTTGACTCTTCAATGATTCCCTCTTGAAGCATTTTATCAATTTGGTTTTCCACTTCCTGTTGCTTAGCTACTGGCATACGTCGTGGTGGTTGTCTAATTGGGTGTGCCAATCCAGTATCAATTCTTACTGTTTCGGAAGAAAAATTGGCAATTCTTATCATAATGTCTCCATTTGTTCTTACTAGAGTCTTTCCAACAAGAAATCTTTCTGGTTTATCTCCAATGAAATTACGTGTTAGCCCATCGCAGCACCCAGGGTTTGTTTCTAATCTTCCGCAAATGATCGTTTCAGTACTTCCAGGAATCCTCACTGGGGTTGTGGCCAAGATCTTAACGGCATCGGATTCTTCTTGTGTTGTTAGGACAATTTCTTCATTACCCAATTTAAGGATGTTCATGGGAGGATCAAAAGAGAAACCATGTTGGTCGATCAAATCCATTCCGAAAATGAAATCATCTTCTATATCGGCGACTAATGTTTTGTGCCTGAAGGTGGTAGATCCAAAAGTAAGCTCAATCATAGCTTCTCCTTGAATTGGTGCAGATTCGCCTGTGACTGTTCGTAGTGACAGGTTTCTAGTGAGCGGCTGGATTGCTCGAGACTTTACTAAAGTTCTTCTAATTATGGAAACTTCAGCACCCGTATCAAAAGTGATGCTTTTCAATTCTCCATTGATTTGTCCTTCGAATTTTAATTCTCTATAATGACTGCCCAATGATTTTATGTACACAACTCTGGGGGCTTCGTCATTACTAGCCAGCATCCTCCCTTCCGTACTAGTTGGTTCCTGTTTGTTATTAGGGCTGGCGGCTCTAGACCTTGAAAAGCTTTGAGAATGATCCCCAGATGGAAATGACATCGTTAATCTACAATCCCATTGCATGTGTCCAAGCTTTTGGCACCGGTAGCATTTTACTCAGTTTCTCGGTGTTAGTGTTTGTCTGGAATCGTTCCCCATTTTTCTATCTTCTAGTAACAGTTTCTTCATTCTCTCCATAAAATTACTCATTTTGGTCTCGAATCTACCATCCTCTTTCGATAATTGTTTATCTTTTGGGGCTTCAATGGACACTGCTCGTACTCTGGGTCGTGAGGCACCAAAGATTGCCTCCAGTTCTAATGCTCGGACAAGGGCTTCGCTACTTTGCCTGAACTTAGACATTCTCAAGTTTTCCTGGATTTTGGAATCTCTGATTCCATCAATGAACGCAGATACTGCCATCCATTCTTGCATGTCTTCCCCAGCTGCAGGAAACGCCAAACTCACTTTTAACAGCCCCTAACTTCCAATTCGAATTCTTGTAGACTCTCTTGATTTAACTTGAGTTCTGAATACTTCTTTTCTGTAATGGTCTCCGAAGCGGAATCCAAAATCTGACTTAGATGCTGGGAATTCTGTTGGTAGACTGAAGGAATCGACTGAAGAAGGTCTAAGGCAGCTCCTCGTAGCGCCACTATTAGTGCTGTAGCTTTTTCTTGGTCGTTCCATCCGTTGGTATTTGAAGCAGCTTCAAATTGTCGAATATACATGGTCCAGGATGTAGAACCGTCAAAAGTTGGTGGTTTTATCTTCATACTGGAGAATGCTCCAACACTAACTGGATTGATGGACTGTATTTCTAATTTACGCACCTTATCTTCGAGTGCTTGAACTTGGTCCTCCACTGTCTTAATTGCTGAACATCGTCTTTAACTTCTTGAACATTGTCTTTAACTCCTTGAATATCGGTTTTGACTTCAGCTTTTACTTCCTGCACATCGTCTTTAACTTGTTCAATCTTCTAGTCTAGGTTAGCGACAGTTCCTTGTATGGTTTGGAATATTTTCTGCAGTCTTCCAAGGTCCTCCTGCCGTTCTTGTTGTCGCTTAGCTTCTTCTTGTTGTCGCCTAGCTTCTTCTTCTTGTTTTTCTTTTTGCCGTCTGGCCTCTCCTTGTTGTCGTCTGGCTTCTTCGCCTTGTTTTTCTTGTTGTCGTCTGGCTTCTTCGTCCTGTTTTTCTTGTTGTCGTCTGGCTTCTTCGTCTTGTTTTTCTTATTGTCGTCTGGTCTCTTGAAGTTTCAACATTTTGCGCAGAAGTTCTTCAACTTTTTGTTCGTCCATTTTTGCTTGTTGTCTTGTGATAGGCATATACAGAACGTTCTAGAATTTCCCTCGAACTTTCTTCAAATATCTTTTCTGGTCTTTGCTCGAAGTTCCAAACACGCCGGTGAAGTCACAAATTGGATAACTTGCTTTATTCTAGAATAGAATGTTCTGGAATTTTCTTGAAACTTCTTTTCTAGATGTCGATTGATACAGCAAACACGTCGGTGAAGTCACAATTTCGATATCTCCTTTGGTTTCCAAATAGAATGTTCTAGAATTTTCCCGAAACTCCTCGAAAAAACTCTTCTGAATGACGATTGATGTTCCGAATACGTCGGCGAAGTCACAAATTCGATATCTTCCTTAGTTTCCAAATAGAATTTTCTAGAACTCACTCGAAGATTCACTATCACAGTCTAAATCGGGTATAGAGTCACTTCCGGGGTAATTCACACGATCGGTTAAGTCTTTTTTTGTGATTGTCACTGTTTGCACTGCACTAATTGTCCCAGTGTTCACTTAGTGTTCAGTTTTTACACTACACTAGTGTCCCCGCACTTCCGCAATTGGATTTCATTCTGCAGTCCTTTATATCCCACTTCTGACACCAATGTCACGGCTTTGGATTGCCTGACAGAAATCTTGGGTCCGTTTCGTTTATTCCAAAAATCAAAGTCCAATTAACACAGCAATAATTTATTCCACGTAACAATACACTCTGACACTAATTACTTTAATAACAAACTCAACAATTAAACTCTTACAACTCGCAATAATCACTATTTAAATCGTATCACAGTCGAACTAAAACTAAAAACTACAAAGCAATAGCGGCCTTTTATATATCCCTAAATCTATTCCTGTGAAATCTAGAACACACGCGATAACTCTCCTGTTCTCGATTAAGTAGAATTGACCAGATTAATAGGAATCTGCAATTTTCTAGGGAATTCGATAGCGTAGCTTTCTTGACAGCCTGGCGACGCCACAGTATTATTTAATGTTCGAAGAGAAAAAACTGTACACGTGTTAATAATGTGCCTCCGAAGCCGGTGGGATGTCACAGCCCAGGCGTTTGTATCGCCCTGTAACTGGAGAACGAGTCATCGAAGCAAAATACGGTTTAAATATTCTTACATTTTTTTGCACTAAAACTTTAATTTTTGGGTCACATCCCCTTTAAGCAAAATAGAGAGTATAGGGAAATTAATAAGAAAATGGATACACTTCATCAGAATTTCTGACATTAGCATGTCGCAATGTTGCCGCATCAACTTTGTTTTACTTTGACATAGCATGTCTAGTAAAGTTTGTCATTTTCCCAGGTTACATTTTTATTGATAAATTGATAAGAATTCCCTTAATACAATTTTATAGCAAGTATACTTAAATTATATCCCAACTATCAATCCCAGACTCGTTGAAAACTGACAACAAACCTCAAACTATTAAAATCAATAACCGAAGATTTGCAGAAGGCAACGGCAACATTTGGCAACATTACCCACGAGTGCCAACCTAAATCCCATTTCATCAGCAGATTTGGTTATATGATCCGATAGCTTTCTATCTCTTTTTTCACTATTTCTCTTCAAGCACACAAGATGAAAAGTAACATAAGCCGTGTTCGTTTTTGTCATCTTTTTCGTCGATTTGCTCCGAAATTTTGACAGGCACGTGATTTGTAAATTGAAACTGTCTGATCCAGCCTCGTGCCTGTCAAAATTTCGAAGCAAATCGACGCAAAAGATGGCAAAAACGAACACGGTCATAACTGAAGGCCGTTTCCATCAACTATTTTAGGGGAGCCCTAACGATAAGTATTTCCTAAAATGACATTTTTACAAGAAGAAATGTCAGTTTAAAGCTATACCTATCGTGAGGGCTTCCCTAAAATAGTTGGTGGAAATGGCCATTAATGTTTGATTTTGACGGAACGAAATGACGTGGTGTCATCATGTATAGGCTGACGTTGACGTCAAAATTGTTAATAATAAAAATAAACATTTCTTGTTGGAGTGTTGTGATTCTGGAAGTCCAGCCATAATCATTTTAAACTAACAACAAAAACAGAACATCGACAAATTGGCAGCAACTTTGGCTAGTTAAAAGCACATCCAGGCTAGACTTTGTGAAAAATGAACGGTTTCAGTACCGGCGAGGAAGATTCGCGAGGCCCCACCGATCAAATTTGTTGTCTCATCGATAACAGCGAGAGGTGCTCCAAAGTAGCGGGGAACGCTTCATACAGCAAAAGAATCCAGAATACTGTGGCTCAGAAGAGGCTCAACCTTTCGCTCGATAACACCGTAAGTAGGTTTCTTCTACTCGATCCTTGATTCTTTTATTCTTCAAAATCAAGGTGGGTCACTTTTGCATATGCGATCTCCATAAAAGGATTATCCAGTCCGCGAAGGATTCTGAAGTGGCCAATAACGAAGTCGACCTGCACCACCTTCAAATCAACACTTTGAGACGGTACCAGAGACGCTATGAAGTACTGACAAGGCCCGGACTCAATAAGGCACAATTGGCCGACGTAAGTCTTGTGAGGTTGGAAACAGGTACTCTTAATATTGGGTAATTTTATTTTGTACAGAACATCATGAAACATTTCAAGACGATACCGATAGTTAAAGAGCATGTCCTTACTTATTTCATTTACACCGTCAAGACCAACGGCAACAAGTTGGACCAGAAAAATGGTTTAAATAGCAGTAACGATATTATGTAGATTAGTTGAGAGTTTCTCAAGGGTCTGTGAGGGAAATAAGGCTTTTTTCAAAAATCATGAAGGTTTTTATTTTTCAATGCTTCAAGCAAGGATCAGTGTATTTATCCGAGAAAATGTTATAATTATGGCCATTAGAAAAACTAAAAAAGGCTTTATTTGTTCTCCAAAACCATCATAGTTGTATTTTTCATTATTTTAAATATTTCAAGTGTGGATTATAAAAAATAAGTTTTTTTTAAGTAGATACATATCTTCTTTTTCTTGGCGAAGCCTTGAAATATAGTAGCGGCTAGCGGCCTGTCCAAGTAGGGACCTTATGGCCGTTTCCACCAACTATTTTAGGGGAGCCTCAACGATAAGTATTCCCAAAACTGAAATTTCTCCATGTAAAAATGTCATTTTAGGGAATACCTATCGATAAAGGCCCCCCTAAAAAAGTTGGTGGAAACGGCCATTATTGTTAGAAATTTTTGGAGCATAACCCGTTATATAGGGTACCTGTCCCAAATAAGGCCACGTTAAGAAGTTTTATTTTTTTCCTGACATTATCCACCAAACCCAACAAAAATCACGAGCTTATATGTAAAGTGTTTCGCTTCTATTACTTGAATATTAACTTCAATTTATTTATTTTTTCATAGAAGTGGTGGTTTTTGCGTAAAATAAAGACGCTTACCATTGGCCTTATTTGTATCAGTATGCTCCTAATAAGGCCACTATCAAAAAATGTTTAAAATGAATACAATTATTTATAAAAATATTATTATTTGAAAAATACATCACAAAATAGAACTTATACGTTTGCCGCGCATTCCTAAAAAAAAAATTCCAAGTCCTGGGATGGTGATCCAAATAGGTCCACATACAACTAGGACAAATGAACCGCAGCATCTCTTGCTTGGTTAGACTTCAGGCATTCCAAAAAACATCACTCAGGCAATAATATGACACATTCTTTTAAAAAAAACACTGTGATATGAGGCCAATTGAACATTTTTCGTATGATGGCCTTATTACGAACATGTTAAATTGATAAAAAAAAGTCCGTAACTAGAAATCTAGCAAAGATATTATTCTGTACTTAATGTGTAGCTTTCTCAATACATTAATATTCCTCAAAAAATTACAATCGCTCCATTCACTTTATAAACACGTATAAAAGCTAATTCAGTTCCAGCCTCAAAGCGATAACGTGACATATGAAATATGTGGTTGGCCATTTTTCGAGATATGACGAGTTGCTAGAAACCGTTGCAATAATTTTTGAATTGCATACTAGATTTCTTTTTTAATAATATTGTAATTTTTGAAAATGGGATTCAGTATTAGGCAAAAAAGGGCACTGGCCTTATTAGGTACATGGCTTTATTTGGGTCAGGTACCTTATATATTTTTTTATTATGTTGAGTATTACTCTGCCGCCCTCAATTAAAACGCGGTATCTGCAGCAGACATGAAAATGAGAAAACAGCGTCTAAAGCTTTTTCTCTGGATTTTGGGTTTATATTGATTTCTTATCACAAAAAATGTACAGTGGTAGTTGGAAATATTGGTAAATTAAATGTTCAGTGAAAAAATGATGTTTCCGCTTATCACGTGGCTAAAAAATCACATACGGCTTTTTAATTGTGCAGAGCACATATATATTTTTAAGTGAAAAACGCCGTAACTGCATTGATAATTGCGATAATGAATATACAGTGAACTTCAACATAAAAAAATACAAATTGGTCAATTTATTGTACAAATTCAACATAATATAAGTACATAATTTTGTAAAACACTTGATTATATCATATCTTCCTCTTCCCCACTGTCAGTATCTTCCAGCTCTGGTAAATTTTCCCAAAACAATTTCCTACTATCTGGTAAAAGACCACCCAACTGTTTGAGAATATTTTCTCTTTTTTCCTTTGAGAATCCTCTGGGTTGTTGTAAATGGAAGGGTGGTTTAAGTAGTTCCTTTTTTTTTCATTGCCTTATTCATCAAAAAATCCAGATCAAGAGATGGCCCATTGAAGCGTTTTTTTATATTTTAGGGTGTAACGACCCCTTTCTGCTACGAGTTGAACCATATCTGAGAGATACGGTCAGTTTAGTTGATCTTTCTTAAGTTTTCGTTGTGACGTCTTATTTTTCCACAGATAGAAGTCATCAAATTTCATTTCTTTAATGTCCACATTGCCCTTGCAACAGCTTCCTACCGCATCAACAAAATCACCAAAGTCGTAAATCTTTTGTTTTCTCTTTAGAGCGAGTTCCACTTGGTGGTGGAAACTGTCAGCTGACATGAACATATGTCCTGGTTCGAAGTAATTGAAGACACGACAAGACTAAAACTGACCATAATTTTTTTTTTTCTAGGGCGTCTCAATTAAAAAGCGGCAAATGCAGCTTGCTTAGTCAAAACACATGCACATACCGCGTTTTAGCTAAGGATGTTAAAGATACCGCGTTTTAACTGAGAAATCATGTCATTTTTGCAGATACGGCAAAATATTTATATTGTGTTTTGCTAGTAAATGAATAGTTACCGCATTTAGCAATTGTAGGTAGATAACAATACCTGTAGCTATCTCAAATATGTAAAAATCTCAATTTCTCAGATTTTTGTAGATACCGCTTTTTAAGTGAGGACGGCAGTACTGGCATGCGTCGCCAGTCTAGTCTATGCGGCAGACCTTCAAAATGGGGTAAAATGTAGCAAATTGGGTTAAGCATGGAAGTTGTCAGAGTTGTTTAGACTATTTTAAGTGATATGACCCGCAGCAGCTAAATTTCATCCCTGGAGGGTGGTCTAGCCCCTATTTTATTTTTAAAGGGTTAAAATGCCTATGTCATCTTGTAATCATATTATTTCAATATTGGTTTAATTTTAGACTGACTCGAATATTAGATAATATAACAAAAGGGAGACGCTTATCTGTAGTGACGTCACAATGTTATGGTTGCTAGTCAATAATAGGCAAACCTTTTCGCGATTTGTGTCATTCACTAGCTGTCTTTCTCCGTCGCTTCACGTTATATCTTTCTTCTCTCTCGAGTAACGAAATTTACCCGTGGCGTGTTTGTGTGATTTGAAAAAATCACTCTCCATTAGGCCTTCATACACACTAGTTATTTTGCGCGGTTATTCGTGTCATCTACAAAAAAATTGTGAAAAACCATGTGCGTGAATGAGGAGGGCTGCACGCAATGGTAGAAGCGAACAGAGCCTCGCAAAAAATATAGTCCCCAGTACATCGACCTTAAAATTTGGTAACTCATGTACACGCCAAACTTCCTGAGCGGCTTTATAACACCAAGTCGGACAATATTTTTCATATCTCCACCCTGCGGGCCGATCCTCGAGCCAGGGAGTGGAGCTCCCCGAGAGAACAAAATTTTCGTCCTTATCATTCTCGTTTACTTTTCGATTACGTTGACAAGGACAAAACATTCGTTCTATCAGGGAGTAGAGCTCCCCGAGAGAACAAATTTTTCGTCTTTATCATTCACATTTACTTTTCGGTTACGTTGACAAGGACAAAACATTCGTTCTATCGGGGAGATCTACTCCCTGGCCCAAGGATCGGCCCACTGGGCGATGGGACATTAGGTACCGCGCTAGCTCTTCGTGAAGTTGTCGTTCTGACGTCCCTAGGGTGTTTTTAATACCAATCAACGGATTTTTACGTTACATTAATGACATCGCATTTGTCGGACAAGAAATTTGAGACAATCAATGAAAAAATTAAAATTAGTTTGCCTTAACGCAACGTGCATATTAGTCAGTTTATTATTCACCTACTTTGTCAAATATCTGTGGGACCCTGCGTCATATTCGATGATCTGTTTTTTTTTGAGAATTTCATACATCTGTCAAAACTGGTATTCCAACAATAAACTGACATGTTTTGTTTGTTGATTTCAACCAATCAAATTGGAATTACGCGATAATTTGCACTAGTGATAATTTCCATTGCACTCGTTATATTACTATTGATAATTCCCGATTATTTACGGAAATTATTTAGTGAACGGTCGTTGAAAACCACGCGTGTGAGAAAGAATAGATATTCAGTCATGTTTTTTTGTGTGATCGCAGGAGTGGATATCTTGAATTTCGGCAGAAATTTATTAAAAGAACTTTTGTTGTCCGACTGACTTTAATGCTCATTTTTTTTGTCCGACATTTACTACACATGTTTTAAAATTACATTGTTATTCATAATTATTTTTGTCGGACATTCATGTATCAACTTCCTTAGGGACGCCACAGCGACATGTTGGGGGCGTCGGACCACCCCAAAGCCACGTGATTTTTGTCCGATATATGTGATATCAATAATTTAACATAGAAAACAGTCGATTGGCATCAAAACCACACGTACATGGATCAACTTCTTCAGGGACGCCACAGCAACATGTTGAGAGCGTCGGACCCTCCCCAAAGCCACATGGTTTTTGTCCGCCAAATGTGATATCATTAATGTAATGTAAAAAACAGTCGATTGGCATTGAAACCACACGTACATGTATCAACTTCCTTAGGGACGTCAGAACGACAACTTCAGGAAGACGGTAATGTCCCATCGCCCAGGGGTGGAGATATGAAGAATATTCTCCGACTTGGTGTTATGAAGCCGCTCAGGAAGTTTGGCGTGTACATGAGTTACAAAATTTTAGGGTCGATGTACTGGGGACTAATAGGTTATCGAACCTTAAAATTTGCACTTTTCGATTTTCCAAAATAAAACGTAGAGGACAAATAAACTTAATCCTATGCGAAACTTCCAAATATCATGGAATTCACTGAAAACTACCAATTCTACTGCAAATCAACCAGAACTCTCAAATCATATGGTTTTTATTTTTTCGGTAGATTGTCGGAAGGATTTGTTAGCAGAGTTTTTTTTATAGTCTCCAGTATATCGACCTCTAAATTTTATAACTCATGTACCTACATGCCAAACTTCCTGAGCCGCTTCATAACACCAAGTCGGACAATATTTTTCATATCTCTACCCTGGGCGATGGGACATTTCCGCGCTAGCTCTTCGTGAAGTTGTCGTTCTGAAAACTTGACGACCCCAAGAAAGTTGATACATGTACAGGGTGTTTCCTTATATTTTGACCCCTACCTACAGCTTCAGGTATACGAGGTGGAGATAAACTTTAAATATGAATGTTGTAGGGTTTTGCGAATGTCAAAATAGGCAAATGACAAGTGTCAGCTGTCACAATGACAAACACTTGCATTTTTC